TCAAATAGATCCATCAGGGCATTCATCGGGATCATTACAATTTCGGTTTTGTTCATTATCGGTGAAGTAGTCAGCAGAATGGAGTGATGTGTTCTCCTAATTACCAATCAATTAGTGAGGCCGAGAATTAGTCAATTTTGAAAAATTGATTGATGTATTAATTCGATGCTGCTTGCCAAGCTTGCGCGAAGCGCCCGTCTCGCTTAGTATTCTGGTATTTCATGAAGCCTCATATACAAAAAATATATAGCCTTATTCATTTATGGGTGACAAAAAAACGAATATTTCGAAATAAAAATGTCTAAATGCGTTAATGCGTACGGGAGCTACGCTCTTAAAAGCGGAAAAAATGAAAAAAATCATAGCAGGTTTCTGGTATTGTCAATAAATCTCTCAAAAATTGAGGAGTCATCTAATGATGTGTACAAAATAGGGAAAAATTGACGATGCAATCGAAAAGGTTAAGGGTTTGAATCTCGTTGAGTTCACTAAGAATACCCCATATGCATTGTGCAAAATGTCTGCGCAGCGAGGGCATAAAATGCAGTGTCTGAGGTATAGCCAATAATATGTAACATATGTTAGATGAAAATAGTATATCTTCAGATATGTATCTTGCTTATACTCATCTATATTTTATCAAAAAGGGATTAAGCCATTACGATAAATAAGGGCTTGAAAAGCTGCACAAATACGACTTATACTATATTACTCAATAATAATCTTCGTATATTTCCACTGATATTTCATGTGCCATATGAGATCCCATAATCAACATGCACCATCTGCTTGCGCCCAAAACATGTTCTCAGGTAGATGTCACTCGAAAATTATTATTGATGTTGGAATATTTGAGTACAGTTCTTTCATTGTCCTACAAAATTTACTTGACACCATCCTAAACATTCTGGAAAAACAGCTCTACTAAGGGACTAATTTATGATCGTTTGTACTCCGAACCCGAGACTGATTTAATCCTAAACATATGCTGAAATCTCAACAAAGGACTGTGTCCCTTTGAGTCATAAAATTATTTTTCAGTTTATTCTTTTCCTTGAGAGAGTTTTTCCCTTTCAAATAGTTTTTAGTCTCTGGACAACGGTCCTCAAGTTAAGACGTGCCTTCCTCGTGCTAATAAAGAATATTTTATAAAGTATTTCACTGTGTCTTCGGTGTTATTTGTTCGCTTACATCCATATTCCAATAATTGATAATTCAAATTTCTCTTCTTCTTCCTTCATTGACTTTCTTTTTAAGATGGTGATGTTTTACTGAATCCTTATAGGTCTGAATATATAGGTCTGAAAAGGATTCAGACCTATATCAGCCAGGAATCAATGGAGGCATCACCATGACAGGCCCAGCTTTTGTTTTAGTCCACAGGATGATAAGGAGTTTCCGATCGGTCCAAAGACGCACACGTCCTCTACGGAATTATAATACCACGAGCAGCGTTTCACTGTTAGGAACTTTTGATTTGAAGAGAGATGGAGTTTACAAGGTACTATAGAGAATGACAAGGAGAATGATGGTTTTGGTGGCGCCAACGATAATCCTCGTGATAGTCTCCCCTCTTATTTCTTCACTCCTTTCTTTTTTTTCCTTCACGTCAGTCAGGATTGGATTCGGTTTAGAGCTCTCTATAGCTGGACTTTGGATGAGCAGAGGTTCTCACACCATTATCAGATATTTTCATTTGCAAGAAAATGTTTCTTTCATTAAAAGTTGAGTTTCACTTGGATCAACACTTTTCCATCAAAAACTTGACAAACTGCATGCATAATGTCTGAAACTCTTCTTTTCCCGTTACGGTGTATGGCGCACACTGAATACATCTGGGATTCTCCCTCAAAGTGCTGGAAAAGTAATTCTTCATTTAATCCTCAGCTTGGCATTATTTTTTCACTAATCTTTGGTCTTCCAATGGATTTCTTTATTTTTTAATTCAAGTCTGCAAACCGATTTGAGTAGAAGTCAGGAGAAAATGTAATCCGGTGAATCGGGGATTCCTTGGAGTCAGAATGTTTCGGTTCTTATTACCGCAGTGCTCTTGTCTTTGGAGGATTTCCAAACTTAGGTACTCAAAACCCATCAAATTCACTAATCAGATTATGCCAAATATGAGCAATAAAAAATGATGAATGAAATGCCACATAAAAAGAGTTATTAATCTCCAAAAAGATCGAGAAGAATAATTTTTGATTACGCCTAATAGGAAAAAAATCAAAAAATTTTCATGGAATCTGCCACAACGTACAAATTCCGCCCTTTCCAGCAATTCCAGCATACAGCACTTTATACACGAGAACAATGGGCTTGGGTATACGCGAGGTACATAAAAACTGAGAGAAAAGGAATAAGAAGGATCAGCATTGAAAAGTTGAGTAGTGAAAATTCACAAAGCTCGGAGGGCGGATGAGAACCAGAAGGAAATCGGGTGAAAGGGAAAAACACCTTGAGAATTATTAAAACCTGTCTGTTGCCAATGGAAACTAGATAGGGAAGGGAAGAGAACATAATATATCGTCGATTTTTTTTTGGCGACATATCGGCAGCTTAGGAAACAAATCATGTATCTACGAAAATGGATGAATTTCGGAAAATTTGTACGAAAAAAAAACATACTGCCATATTCATTTAAAAGATTTTTGGATTTTTGGAATTATTAAAGACGTGTAAGCTCGGAAAATACACTTGAAATTTCAGGTGCAAAAACTTGAGATCTTTAACAACGACAATGTGGTATGGAATTTCATTAGAAGTCTTCATTGACGATTCAGTTGTTTCTTCAAATATTTGGGTAATCTCAATTGTCAGATCTCCATGGAAAAAAACATGAAAATATCGAAAACTCCAGCAATAATTTCCCTGAATCTATGGAATACTCAAATGGTGATCTTAATAATAAAATTTGTATGACCCTGTTATCATGAAACACGTTTGGTAATTATGCAAGTTGATTTTCCTTAATTGCGGTATTACACTGAAAGGGTGTTAATTTCATTTTTCGATCATAAGACCCTGATCAGTTCGCAAGCTGAGCCGAAGGCGATCACATGTGTCGAAAACGAAATTCGCACTTAAGGAGCGAACGTTATTTTTTATTTTTGGGTGCAGTAACTAACAAATTAGACGCGGCCACCTTTGTTCCGTCGTCCGCTCTCCTAGCTTTAGATTAATTAGCTTTAATTCGCCAACCGTTTGTTAATTGACTTTTTCACGAATATGGCTGAAACTAAAACAGATAGCCCATTGTACCTGAAACATAAAATGGACGTAAAAGCGGATGAGCGACTGTGAATCAATACCCCACAAAATAATATTTTTTATCAAACTGTATGTAAAGTGACATTTTACGTCTGCCCCACCCGCACGAAACCTCACTTGACACCCGTTGTGACGAATAATATGATCCGCTACTCACGAAAAAATATTCCTTATTTGGTAGGAAGATAGCACTAATGCGATGTGAACCGCTGATGAGTTTTTCTTCCTCGGTTCCGCGAATGTCAGTCCAGCTCTACCTACGTTTTTAAGCGTCCTACTCTTCTCTACATTTGCAACAGTAGGCTTTTATTCTAACTCGCGACTGGCGACAGGCTTTCGAATTGCTTTGCAAGGCAATTATCTCTGTGTTGATTTTTGACTACCCGTGTTTGACCGAGGCACGCGACAAAAATGCGTAGTTGATGGCTTCCTGTCTTATTCTTTCTATTTCTGCGCGCGAGCCACTGGTGATGACAGTGAGAAAGTCATTGGTGAAAGCAACTTGTATCTTTCTAAATCTTTGTTCGATCCAGGGATAGCTCATGCAGGCAGCTACTGGAGGCCCGCTTGGAAACTTCTTCGTCATTCCAGGCAATCTTTATCGTTCGACATTTTAACTGTCTTCTAAGTCCTCCGAAGAATGCGAATCATCCTTTGTCAAGAGCTGGAGGATAAGAGGCGACCAAACGCTGTCAGAGATATCGGATATTTTGTTTAGCAGCTAGACAACATATTTCTTGTGGCGAGCATGAGCCCCCATTATGCGTCTCAATAATTGTTTTTTGCCTCGACCTTCACGGCATGAATCCGTAGTCTTGCGAGAATATGTCTCTAATCAGAACAATGGACATGAGGATACGATAAAAGACTTGTTCGGAGAATTTTTCAACTACCGATTTGAGGTGGATGGGGCGTTATGACTTCGGATTAGATGCGTCTTTATCAGCTCTTTTGAGAAGCGTTCTAAGCTGCTCCACCTTCCATGACGTCGAGAAACCGTCATGCTCCAAGCAGGTGTTGCGGCGTTGAGTAAATTTTTGGGGGATCGAAAAACGACGAAGTAATGATGGCTACTTGAGCACCCCAAATTCGACATGCGGGCGCATTTTATCGTTTTTGAGGGTTTTGAGGGGACCCCTCAGCTTCGCGTCCGTCACCGGACTTGCAAAAAAATAATTTGTATTATGTTTCTCTTAAAAAAAATGAAGTAAAAATTTCAAGCATTTTAGGAAGTTTTGGTAGGAGATAATCAAGTTTGAAATTAACATAGGTTCTTATGGGAAAAAAAGTAAAAAAAATTATCTAGGCTTTAAAAAAAGGGATAAAAATCTGAAACTTTTTGGGTGTACTCATAAAAATGATTAAGATTGAAAAACATTTTTTTTTAAAACATTAAGAAGCTTTGCGATTTTTAAATGAATTATTTCACCCGCCTAGTTACAAAAATTCTCCCTGTTATTCAACGCGACACCGTATTGACGCGCGGCAGTAGCGGCAATTTCAATTGTATATCGGTGGAATACCGGCTTACCACACGTGAAAGCATAGCATGATTAGATTTATGTAACCAAAGATGAACTTTTATCTAGCCAAGTTTATTCGATTAATTTTCGGCAGTCACAGCATACAAATAACAAAAATATCTAGAGAAATAATAAATTTTTAACCTCTTTATAGCCATTGCATGGACCTCAAACCTCAAACAACTCGTAAACTTGAAGTCAAATAGAGAATTATATTTCACCAAGAACTTTCTTTAAAAAATCAACAATGCTTTGACCAATTCTTTTGCTCTTTGTAACTCGTACAATCCCATTTTCATCAATAGCCAGAAGGGTTTTTATTCTATTCTCTTGATGAGTTCGAAATGTATTGCAAAGAATTTCAAAACTTATGTCCGACTCAGCCATTTTCTTCCTCATCTGTGCACTCACATGATCCTTCAAGGGTGCTAGCGTTTTCAGAGTCATACTGCAAACGTCTCGACGTTTTTCTCCGTTGATGCAAGCGTTCCAGGTCTTATTTACAGTGACGAGAGTTTCATGAGAAATTTCCAGTGTTCCTGTCACTCTCTCCAACATTCTCACATCCTGAATCGCATTATGAGTTCCATCAGTATTAATCTCCAACAACTTAGCCAGTTGACTCAAAGTATTCTCTCCTCGCCCCTTTTTACCTCTGACAAGTCTGATGATGGGAAGAGTATCTGAAAATCCTTCGATAATTCTGCCAAGTTCTTCACACATACCCACATTAGCAATACCTCTGAGCAGGCGAGGGACATTGAAAATCGCATTGTGAGCACAGATAATGCTTCGTCTCCGTAGACTCCTCAGATAATTGCAGAATAGACTGTAAGCAGTATTTGGAGATTTGGTTACAATGCAATTTCCATTGTAGAATAAATGCCCCTCAAATGCTTGAGGGCTAGTGTTCTGGGTAGAAGTGATATACCTAGAAAATGTGAACTGCTGACATTTAGCAGCTATTTGTAAAATATCAGCGCTTTTCCCAAAGCCAGAAGTCTCCAAATCAAAGAAAACAATACCAGGTTCTCTCTCAAAACACACAGATTGCAATGGACAATGCTCCACTGCTGAAGTGGTAAGGAATCCCATGTTCGTGTTGTAAGTGTCACCTTCTGAGGCTTCTTTTTTGTTACGTAACATAGTCTTTTGCTTCCACAAAAAGTTTCGCCTGTTTTTAAACTCTTTTGTTTTACTTTTTTCTGAGCGTATGCGTGCTGTCTTCTTAGTTAGGCTCACATGGCGTGGTGTATTCATCGCGGGCTTCAGGCCCAATTTCTCTTTGGTCATTTCAATATACTTTTCCCAAACATTTTTCCGGCTTACAGCACACCCATACCTAAAATCTGCAGACTCTGAAGTGCCATAGCAACGGGATTTTGGTGCTTTGCTGGCCATGGTAGCATTCAAACTTTCATGCTGACTCGATGCACCTGAAGCAAAACGATCCACTTTCGATGACAACGTATCGAATAGTTGTTTTAACTTTTCGAACATCTGAGGATTTGTAAACCCTTCGGAGGGCTTTTAGGTTGTTGAATCTTGTACGAATTTACACCAAGGGCCACAATTATCGTGATAATTGAAGGGATGATACGGCATGTTCCTTATAGCCGCAGTAATGGCTTCACTATTACCTGTATTTTGGGCCATTGCATAGGTAAAATCACAGTTTAGTTTATCGATACAATGTTTGTTCATCTCTTTGAGGCCTTTCTTCATGTTCTACAGCTCCTTTGTTACACCCCTTGTAGTATGATTTCTATCTGAATGTTTAACGACTCGGTGTTGTCTTGCACGTCGTACTGCTGCGATAGTCGAACTATCATCATCACCCACCAAAACTCCCACTTGCAAACCCAACTTCTCGAAGATCGAACTCTTGGTAGCGATTTTCACAGCCGCACTTGCCTCCATCGCCTCAACACTTCCAGTGGAATACAATCTGCAATCATGATCGTTACGTGGATGACCGTTGTCACACATCCTACATTTTCTATTTCTAGTGTCAGAGTCCAGCACACGCCCAGTGTGAAATCCAATAAATGATCCGTATCCATTTAGACCATCTTACTGTCTGCCATTGCCACGTGTCGACCAACTCATGTCATACTCATGTCTGAAAAATTGTTCAAATGACTCATTCTCCATTGGCGCCATTAATTCATTATCATGGTCGTTAGCGGTGTTCGATTCTTCATCTAGGTGGGGGTCTTCAACAGGTTCATTCAGGTGGGGACCTTCATCAGGTGCATTGGGATGGAGGCCTTCATCAGGTTCATTCAGGTGGGGGTCCTCCATAGACGAGGCATTCCTCCGGTTTAGCCATTCAGAGTCTCCACGCAATGAAGACTCTCCAATATTATTATTAAAGACTGTAGGATTTGGAGTGCTCAATTTTTCTTTCGTTACTAGGAACTGATGGTTGATGTCGGGGGGGAGAAGGCTGGAATAGATTAAAACGAAAGATGTCAGTTAAAAGAAGAAATTAAGAATATGGGGATGAGAATTCAGTGGAAAATGATACGTGAATAAATATATTTATTATCAGTACACATATGTAATTGAAAATTCGTAGAGATTATTTTTATAAATAATTCAAGCCGAGGCCGAATAATCGAGGCTCTAGCTCAAATTGTATATTTTCCTCAATTTTCCATCAAATTAATTTGACGACTGTTTTTAATTACCTAATTCCTTGGGTAATTTCACCCTTTCAATTCATGTATACAATTTCATAAAATTACAATATTTGAAAAAGCTGAAAGACGACTTATTTCAAAAAAACGATAGTAACAAATCCCTCCCAACCAATAACAATAATCAAATCAATAAAATTGCTAAAATTACTTAAATCCAGTATAATTCTCAATAACTACTGTCAGTTGGGTTAGTAAATCTACTTATTGATAATCTAATGATAAAACTTGTTAGTTGGGAGTACTGTGGGTTAGCCCTAGTCTCGGGGGGACTACTGCTGATTTCTGCATCCATATTTTTCTTCTTTTACCCGCTTGCACTGGGCTTAATCTCTGGTGATAAATTTTTTCCGACACATGTTTTCGCTTCCACATGAAGAGTTCTTTGCCACTTTTACCAAATATAACTTTTCCCGAATCACTTGACACCATGCGATTTCGACTTACATACATATACTCGTATACGCTGAGGGGCCCATGATTGGACGCTCCTTGCAACGTTGTCAAAATATTAGAGCTACTGCTAGTGATAATTCTTTAGCCTGGGGAATAGCGATGTTAGCTTAGATGCACCATATTTTTTGTTAGCTAGAGTGGGCTCCAGTGCCCTAACATCCTTAAGTTTCCTAATTTGGTTGCATTTCCCATTAGTTCGCGGTATCATTATCTTTTTCGTCATCAGAGATCTCCGCGTCAAGTAGGCGGCGAACGGTTTCCCGCATGCTCATAACCGACTGCTGTCGGATCCTGAGAGTACTGAGCACTGTTTACCCTGAGCTTATCGGTAACATGCTACTAATGCCATTCCTAAGGATTTCTTGAAGAGCACTTCTCTGAAATTTTCCGCCACGTTATCCACTGGGAAGTTCAGCGGGTCATTGATCTCAAATTGCAGCGCTTCCTTGAGAGTTTCCTCTGAATTTCTTCTAATCCGTTCGACATAAAATGCATGATAGTCTTATCTAGGACTTTTTTAGTTTCACTATAATGAAGGCACCTGTGCGGTTCCAAGCAGATAACGATGGATCTATGGTCACTTGTCTTCCAAGCATACCTGACACTTCATCCATGAATGGATCCACTTACTGCAGAAGACATGAGACAACAAGAAATGACGCGTAGCAGCCGAGCTGCAATACAACTCTTATGACGAGAGTCAGTGACAAACTGGTCTCCCTGTAGATTACGTTGGACGCTGGTTCACCTTCCAGTTCAGAATTTAGATCATGTCCGCTCATGATGGTGCTTGCGTTTCTATTTGGGAGCTTGTCCGTCAATAAACACTACTACAGGAACGCATACCGAGATCTCAAATACTGAGTGGTGTGCGCTGACAACCCTCAACTCACTCAACCTACAGACCGTTGCATATCCTATCGTTGCAACGCTTGCATCTATAATGATTACCTGCGCATAAAAATTACAAAATTACAATACCATAGTTGTTGACGTGGTTATTGTCGAGAGTAATTCTCATCGATTAGATCATCAGTCATAAATATCTAATAAATGGTTTAAAAATAATCCCCTACTGTCTATCTCCGAACTTCACTATCTCCATGACCACCCACCCCCACCAATTCTACCCTATCATACATATGGCCCTTAACAACTCTATTAATGAAGAAGCTCCGTATCATGATCCACACGTATCCTGATCGGTTAATGTTTTGAAACGTCTCAGTTTAAGCTATTTTTAATATCGATTGTCGTCATTAAATAGTACTCCCAGAACAATATCCGTAACAGGGTCGGCGAAAAGGGCAATCATATCTATGGTAAAGTGGTATATAAGAAACCCATATTATTCAACATTTTTCCAAAAAAATTTAGAAAATTTACAAAATTTATGAAACATTGTTGAAAGATGAAAGAAATCGAAGGCGACAAAGTCTGAAAGAAATAATTAGCTCTCTTGCATGGCTTCCGTAAAATTTCCGAAATTTACAAAAATTGCCGTATTTCTAACATTTTTGTAATTTTTAAAATTCTTTTCGGAAAATGTTGAAAAAAATCACTGAAAGTTATGTGCAAATAATATTCCCTCTATGAATGAAGGAGTGAATGTTTTATTGTACGATTAAACGACTTACCTGTAAGGAAGTTCAATCGTAATTATATTTCGCGCCTCTTCCTTCGGAGACCTTAGTGACTATGTAGTTGTTTAAAGTCCACACTTACGACATTCTTGACAGTCAGGAGAAATATTTATTTCGCAAGTGTATGTCAGCACGAACATAAAAACATGTATATATATAAGTATATCTAAATATAATTAATTATCTTTGGCTGCCTCAAGAACCGCCAGGCCAAACTCTGTAGAGTCCTTAACTACTTCTCTATTATAAAAACGCGCGAACGTTTCTGAACCCTGAGTCCAGCCTGCTGCCCTGAGAATAGCGTCAATCGAGACGCCACCTCGTTGTGCTGCTGACGTGGCAGCATGACAAGTACTGTATGCCGTAAACAAGTCTGTATCAACGGACCTATTTTTTAGGACTTCTTTCACCCAGCGACTCAGCGTCTGAGTTGTCACCCTTCGGAAGGATTTCTTACAGGGTAGAAACAAGGACTGCTCGGCACCTCGAACTTCCTTCGTCTTTGTTAGATATGCAAGGAGTGCAGATGCAGGGCAAATCGTCGAATTCTCTCGAAAGAACGGCACGATTAACGTAGGTTAAGGCTTGTTAATTTTTGACGTTTTAATTGTATCCGAAATCTTGATCACAATTCGATCGATCTTTATATCAATATTTTTTATATTTATCATGGTAAGGGTTTGCAGCCTTTGCCCCGTGACTAAGGCCAGCAGTGCAGCTAATTTTCGGAATAATTTATCCTGACGAAAGGCCTGATTCGGTCCCCAGCGAGACAGTTCGTCCAAAACTAATTTAGGGTCCCAGGTTACCTCGTAACGTGCCCGCGGAGGCTTTTGTTTTGCGACTCCCTTAAAAAAACGTGTCATCAGCGGATCTTCCTCCAGATTTGGATCATATAAAAGAGCTATTGCCGAACGATAACAATTAAGAGAACGGTAAGAAGAACCTGTGTGAAATTCTTTCGTGAGAAAATTTAAAATGTCAAGAGTCGATGCTCCGTAGGGATCTACATTGGATGTTTTACAGAAACTCCACCATTTAGCTAAGCCACTATTGTATTGTTGAAGTGAGGAGTTGGTGAGCGATGAAATCATGACTTCTGCTGTGTGCGGTGGAACATTTTTCAATATATACGCTTCCCTGATACAACCCCGGCAACCAGGGTAAGCGTCTTCCAACTGGGATGTGGAGACTTGTCGATAGATTTTAACAAGTTAACGTTAGGAGTGAAGAAAATTGGTGCTGATATCAGCATCGACATAAAAATTGAAAACCATGGCTAAGCCGTCCAATGAGAACCACTAGGATTCTTCGCGATCTTTCGAATTCAATTTTTTGGAGCACTCGTAAGATAAGGCAGAAGGGCGGAAAGGCATAGAAAAAAAATGACTTCCAGTCAAGAGTAAACGCGTCAATTCTCATAGATTCTGGGTCAATTTTCCAAAAAACGAATTTCTTGCATTTTGAGTTAACTCGTGTTGCAAATAAGTCAATGCTAGGCTGACCAAATGCAGACGTTATTGCCCTGAAGGCTTTACTTGACAACGAATATTCTGTTTCTATATATAAACGTCTGGATTCAAAATTGATTTTTAACTGGAGTGGCCTCTCTTATAGCATTCATCTCCAGTAACTCATCAATGAGGCCACCAATTACTCTTATTTCCTTGAGGGACCATTGGTTTTCTCGCGGAAAATCAGTCTGGAAGGGTTGCTTTACAAAGGAGATTTTGTAACCAGTAATCTAGCTCAAAATTATCCTATCTGACGTGATATCCGCCCAAGCATCTTTGAAAAAACGTAATCGACCAGCGAAACGACTTACAGTTAGTCCCTCTTCTTCGGATAAGATGTTCTGCGTAGCGACCGACGAGTCGGCTGAGATTTCTGATCGCGTGTCGAAGACCTCTGCCCGCTGCTCTGC